AGATCTGTAAAAGCCTCGCTATGAGAGTCTTATTCATCACAGCACCAGAGGCCACATCCTCAGTGACCAAATCTATCACATCTGAAACATCGTTTGATTCATCTATAATCCCGACGGAACGAAGAATGGAGAGAAGACAGTCAGAGAACCGAGTTCTCGAAGCCGACGTACAATTAAACCTTATGTTTGTTCTAAATAAGGGCGACATGCGACCTTGAGAAGCGAACTGTGGTTGAAGTCGTTTCGGTCGTTGGTAAGTCATGACCCTGAGGACTTGTTCGCATTGAGAAAGTACTGAAAATGTTCGTTTTAAATTAAAAAAAATAATAATAACCAAAACTTACTTTTGTCCTTTTGCTCTTGAACTGATTCTAAGGTTAGTGGAACGTTTTCCCCAGAGCGCCTCCTCTTTTTAGGACGACATGAATTGATAGAATCCTGGGAGTCGTCACTGGAACAAAAAGCACGTTTTCTCTTTTCAGATGCCGCATTATCTTCATCAGAAACCCAGCCGAGATCTAAACCCTCCAAAAAACTGTCTCTGTTAAAGTCCTGGAAAAAATCTGCCGGGACGTCTTCAACTTCGTCGTCGCTGACGTTTCCGGCTTTAATTTCTGTATTTCTTGAAGAGTTTTCTTCTTTGATTATAACATTTTCCGTGTTGCTATGAGTGAATTCACTTTTTGGTACGATATTTGCTAACTCGGGGCTCGTTACGTCGGGTTTTACATCGATATCTTGCGTGGTGTCTGAAAATTAGTAAATTTGTTGGTTCATCCTCTGTGACGTCACGTGACGATTTTACTAGCCTGTGACTTAGACCTACCTGGCGACGCAAAAACCGCGCTTGGCTTATCCACTTCGTCCAAATATTTGATAATTTTCAAGTAAAGAAAATTATCGAAGTGTTTTTTGTGGTTGTTCATTCGTAGCCGCGTGAAGTGAGCCTTTGATTTTTTGTCAAACGTGACGGTAATCCGAGCAGGGCGTTTATAGTCTTTGACCACGCCTGGGTTTTGGCTCAAAATTAGCGCCGTAACGGCAATCTCTTTTTCCATATCGGTAGCGTTTGGTGATAACTTTGGTAACAGGGTTTTTAGAGCTGTGGATCTATTTTGCCAAAGATCGTGAGTACCTGCACACGTAAAAGCAATTTCTGAGGGAGTTCGTTTTACGCTTACTTCGTAACAAAGAATCTTATGTAGGATGTCAACGGTGACTTCCTCGATAGTCGTTTTCCATTGGTCTTCACTGAATCTGCTTGGTTTTTCTAGAGTGAAGCACTTTGGACTCGTGTTGAGAAGTACCTTTGAAAGTAAACCTGATTTTGTTTGACTGAAGTTTGAAACGGTGCGACACCAAGCAATAAAATTCCCTCAGTAAGTGAGCGAAGTTTTGGATAAAAGATTGACCGAGTGTTCAAAGGGGTCTTGTACACAAATACCGTGACCTACATCGATACAACCATCTTGACACATATAGTTAGAGTAACAAGATGGAAGCTCATACGGTTTGATAAAACTTTCCATGGTGATCAGCTGGCCACAAAATGGCGCAATCACGTACGAAAAGTAATCAAAACGGGAGTAGAATTTGAAGAATTTAGTGACAAACTTGAAAATTTGAAGAAAAATTGAAAAAAAACTGAAAATGTGAAAAATGGAATAAACGAAAAATTGTAAAATCGAAAGAAACAACAAAAAATAAAGGTAATAAAAAAACAAAAAATTGTGAAATAAAATCGAAAAAGGGAAAATTAAAAAATCGGCAAAATGAAAAATAAAAATCGGAAACAAAAAATTGGAAAAGGGAAAAATTAAAAATTGAGAAACTGAAAAATCGAAAAATGAAAAACTGGTGCAAACCGAAAAATTGGAGGAACGAAAAATTGAAAATTTTGGAAGTCGAGAAATTGTAAAATTGAAAACTCAAAAATAAAAAACGGAAAATTATAAAATGAAAACTTGAAAAATCTTAAGAATCGAAAAAGTGAATAAAATAAAAAAAAATATGTATTATGAAATAGAAATATCGAAAATTAAAAAAAATGGAAAATCCAAAAACTAAAAAATCGAAAATTAGAAATATGTATTGAAAAATCCCAAAACTGAAACAAATACCCAAAATCGAGACTTTAAAAAATTAGCCAACCGAAAAATCCAAAAATCGAAGAATTGAAGAACTGAAAAATCGAAACTCAGAATTCGAGAAACGGGAAAATAAAAAAAAATATATTAATTGAAAAATCGGAAAACTGAAAATTTAGCAACGTCAAAATTTGAAAAATTGGAAAATAGAAATATTGAAGATCTGGAAAATCAAAAAATCCGGAAATCGAAAAATCTAAATGTAGAAATCCAGACATCAAAGAATAAAAAAACCAAAATTCGAAAATCTAAAACTTAAAAATCGAAACATCGAAAAATTGGAAAATCGAAAAACCGAGAAATCCAAAAATTGAAACATCGAGAAATAGAAAAAAATTGAGAAATTGATAAATTGAGAAATTGAACAATCGAATGGAGAAAATGAAAAATAAAAATCAGGAAAGTGCAAAATAAAAATCGGGGAGTTGAAAAAAAAATCGAATAAACGAAAAATTGTAAAATCGAAAGAAACAACAAAAAATAAAGGAAATGAAAAAACGAAAAATTGTGATATAAAATCGAAAAAGTGAAAATTTAAAAATCGGGAAAATGAAAAATAAAAATCGGAAACAAAAAATTGGAGAAGGGAAAAATAAAAAATTGAAAAACTGAAAAATCGAAAAATGAAAAACTGTAATATTGAAAAATTACAAAATGAAAACTGGAAAAATCTTAAGAATCAAAAAAGTGAAAAATAAAAAAAAAGAAATATGTGTTATAAAATGGAAATATTGAAAATTAAAGAAATTGGAAAATCGGAAGACTGGAAAACCAAAAACTGCAAAGTAAAAATTTAAAAATTGAAAAATGGACGAACTGAAAATTTGAAAAATTGAACAAATGAAAAATCGTAAAATCGAAAAAAACACAGAAAATAAAGGAAATGAAAAAACGGACAATAAAAATTAAAAATCGGGAACATGAAAAATTGTGGAAACGAAAAATTGAGAAATTGAAAATTCGAAAAATTGAAACGAAAAAATGAAAATTTGTGACATTAAACCGAGAAAATGAAAACTAAAAAAATCGGGAAAATGAAAAATAAAAATCGAGAACTTGAAAAATTGAGGAAACGAAAAATTGAAAATGACAAAAATTAAAAACTGAGAATGTGAAAAATCGAAAGAAACAACAAGAAATAAAGGAATTGAAAAAATGAAAATTTGTGACATAAAACCGAGAAAATGAAAATTAAAAAAAAATCGGAAAAATGAAAACTAAAAATCGAGAACTTGAAAAATTGAAAATGACAAAAATTAAAAACTGAGAATGTGAAAAATCGAAAAATGAGAAACTGCAATATCGAAAAATTGCAAAATTAAAAAATTGAAAAATTTAGAAGCCAAGAAACTGTAAAATTGAAAAATGTCAAAAGTGAAAATCAAACATGAAAATTTGAAGAAACGAAAATTTGAAAATTAAAGAAATTGGAAAATCGGAAGACTGGAAATCCAAAAACTGCAAAGTAAAAATTTAAAAATTGAAAAATGGACGAACTGAAAATTCAAGGCATGAAAATTTGAAAAATTGAAGAAATGAAAAATTGTAATATCGAAAAAAAAACACAGAAAATAAAGGAAATGAATAAACGGACAATTGTGAAATAAATAAAATAGAAGTCAAGAAACTGTAAAATTGAAAAATGTCAAAAGTGAAAATCAAACATGAAAATTTGAAGAAACGAAAATTTGAAAATTAAAGAAATTGGAAGATCGGAAGACTGGAAAACCGAAAACTGGAAAGTAAAAATTTAAAAATTGAAAAATGGACAAAATGAAAATTCAAAGCTTGAAAATTTGAAAAATTTAACAAATGAAAAATTGAAAAAAAAAAAAACAGAAAATAAAGGAACTGAAAAAACGGACAACTGTGATATAAATCGAGAAAATAAAAATTAAAAATTCGCCACATTAGAAAATAAAAATCGGGACCATGAAAAATTGTGGAAACGAAAAATTGAGAAACTGAAAATTCGAAAAATTGACGAAACGAAAAATTGAAAAGAGAGAATGTGAAAAAGCGAAAAATGAGAAAATGTAAAATCGAAAAATTGCAAAACTAAAAAATTGCAACTCAAAAAATTGAAAAATTTAGAAGTCAAGAAACTGTAAAATTGAAAAATTTTAAAAGTGAAATTCAAACGTGAAAATTTGAAGAAACGAAAATTTGAAAAACTGAATAAATAAAAAACTGTAAATCGAAAGAACCAATAAAAAAAATAAAGAAACCAAAAATTGGGATATAAAATCGCGAAAAAATTTATAAATCGAATCTTACAATTATTATCAGACAAAACTGAATGTTATACCGGACTTCAAGAGCGAGGAAAGTGCTGTCCAAATGACTTTAGACCAATTTTTATAATTCAACAATTTACATAAGAGTATCAAAAATAAAACACCGATAGCTTTCGAATAATTTTGAATGTGTTGTGCTATTTTTTTTTAATTCCACCAATATTTTCCATTTTGATAAAATGTTTATTTGAGGTTAGAAAGAAGTGTTGCGAATTTGCGAATGACGTCTTCAATTTACGGGATTGGTCAATTTGAATTCGACTGCAAGCTTTGATTGGTGGATACACCGTCAACAAGCATGCAGCGACTGGTGTCTAAGGTTCCACTGTCGGTATCTAATCCGTCATTAAACTTTCAGGAATGAAAAATGAAAACTGAAATTAATGTATCAGCTGAATTGAACGAAATCTTTAACTCAAAGGTAAGAAGGAGCGAACTATTTCAAATTAATAAGAACAGACAAAATTGTTTTTAATTTTAAACGTTATTAAAAATACAACAATCATTAACAAACCACTAAAAGCGTATACTTTTTTTTTAAATGTCACAATCTCGAGTTATTTTCAACAATCACCGTTACCATCACTTGTAGACTGTTCCGCGCCATCTACAACTTTTTTTTCACTAGGCTTAGAAATTAATAGCGAGATCTGTAAAAGCCTCGCTATGAGAGTCTTATTCATCACAGCACCAGAGGCCACATCTTCAGTGACCAAATCTATCACATCTGAAACATCGTTGGATTCACCTATAATACCCACGGAACGAAGAATGGAGAGAAGACAGTCAGAGAACTGAGTTCTCGAAGCTGACGTACAATTAAACCTTATGTTTGTTCTAAATAAGGGCGACATGTGACCTTGAGAAGCGAACTGTGGTTGAAGTCGTTTCGGTCGTTGGTAAGTCATGAACCTGAGGACTTGTTCGCATTGAGAAAGTACTGAAAATGTTCGTTCTACATTAACAAAAAAAAAATAACCAAAAATTACTTTTGTCCTTTTGCTCTTGAACTGATTCTAAGGTTAGTGGAACGTCTTCCCCAGAGCGCCTCATCTTTTTAGGACGACATGAGTTGGTAGAATCCCGGGAGTCGTCACTGGAACAAAAAGCACGTTTTCTCTTTCCAGTGGCCGCATTATCTTCATCAGAAACCCAGCCGAGATCTAAACCCTCCAAGAAACTGTCTCTGTTAAAGTCCTGGAAAAAATCTGCCGGGACGTCTTCAACTTCGTCTTCGCTGACGTTTTCGGCTTTAATTTCTGTATTTATTGAAGAATTTTCTTCTTTGATTATAACATATTCCGTGTTATTTTCTTCGCTATGAGTGGATTCACCTTTTGGTACGATATTTGCTAACTCGGGGCTCATTACGTCGGGTTTTACATCGATATCTTGCGTGGTGTCTGAAAATATAGTAAATTTGTTGGTTCATCCTCTGTGACGTCACGTGACGATTTTACTAGCCTGTGACTTAGACCTACCTGGCGACGCAAAAACCGCGCTTTGCTTATCCGCTTCGTCCAAATATTTGATAATTTTCAAGTAAAGAAAATGATCAAAGTGTTTTTTGTAGTTGTTCATTCGTAGCCGCGTGAAGTGAGCCTTTAATTTTTTGTCAAACGTGACGGTAATCCGAGCAGGGCGTTTATAGTCTTTGACCACGCTTGGGTTTTGGCTCAAAATTAGCGCCGTAACGGCAATCTCTTTTTCCATATCGGTAGCGTTTGGTGATAACTTTGGTAACAGGGTTTTTAGAGCTGTGGATCTATTTTGCCAAAGATCGTGGGTGCCTGCACAGGTAAAAGCAATTTCTGAGGGAGTTCGTTTTACGCTTACTTCGTAACAAAGAATCTTATGTAGGATGTCAACGGTGACTTTCTCGATAGTCGTTTTCCATTGGTCTTCACTGAATCTGCTTGGTTTTTCTAGAGTGAAGCACTTTGGACTCGTGTTGAGAAGTACCTTTGAAAGTAAACCTACTTTTGTTTGACTGAAGTTTGAAACGGTGCGACACCAAGCAATAAAATTCCCTGAGTAAGCGAGCGAAGCTTTGGATAAAAGATTGACCGAGTGTTCAAAGGGGTCTTGTACGCAAATACCGTGACCCACATCGATACAACCATCTTGACACATATAGTTAGAGTAACAAGATGGAAGCTCATACGGTTTAATAAAACTTTCTTTGGTGATCAGCTGGCCACAAAATGGCGCAATCACTTACGAAAAGTAATCAAAACGGGAGTAGAATTTGAAGAATTTAGTGACAAACTTGAAAATTTGAAGAAAAATTGAAAAAAAACTGAAAATGTGAAAAATGGAATAAACGAAAAATTGTAAAATCGAAAGAAACAACAAAAAATAAAGGTAATAAAAAAACAAAAAATTGTGAAATAAAATCGAAAAAGGGAAAATTAAAAAATCGGCAAAATGAAAAATAAAAATCGGAAACAAAAAATTGGAAAAGGGAAAAATTAAAAATTGAGAAACTGAAAAATCGAAAAATGAAAAACTGGTGCAAACCGAAAAATTGGAGGAACGAAAAATTGAAAATTTTGGAAGTCGAGAAATTGTAAAATTGAAAACTCAAAAATAAAAAACGGAAAATTATAAAATGAAAACTTGAAAAATCTTAAGAATCGAAAAAGTGAAAAAATAGAAAAAAATATGTATTATGAAATAGAAATATTGAAATTTAAAAAAAATGGAAAATCCAAAAACTAAAAAATCGAAAATTAGAAATATGTATTGAAAAATCCCAAAACTGAAACAAATACCCAAAATCGAGACTTTAAAAAATTAGCCAACCGAAAAATCCAAAAATCGAAGAATCCAAAAATCGAAGAATTGAAGAACTGAAAAATCGAAACTCAGAATTCGAGAAACGGGAAAATAAAAAAAAATATATTAATTGAAAAATCGGAAAACTGAAAATTTAGCAACGTCAAAATTTGGAAAATTGGAAAATAGAAATATTGAAGATCTGGAAAATCAAAAAATCCGGAAATCGAAAAATCTAAATGGAGAAATCCAGACATCAAAGAATAAAAAAACCAAAAATCGAAAATCTAAAACTTAAAAATCGAAACATCGAAAAATTGGAAAATCGAAAAACCGAGAAATCCAAAAATTGAAACATCGAGAAATAGAAAAAAATTTGAGAAATTGATAAATTGAGAAATTGAACAATCGAATGGAGAAAATGAAAAATAAAAATCAGGAAAATGCAAAATGAAAATCGGGGAGTTGAAAAAAAAATCGAATAAACGAAAAATTGTAAAATCGAAAGAAACAACAAAAAATAAAGGAAATGAAAAAACGAAAAATTGTGATATAAAATCGAAAAAGTGAAAATTTAAAAATCGGGAAAATGAAAAATAAAAATCGGAAACAAAAAATTGGAGAAGGGAAAAATAAAAAATTGAAAAACTGAAAAATCGAAAAATGAAAAACTGTAATATTGAAAAATTACAAAATGAAAACTGGAAAAATCTTAAGAATCAAAAAAGTGAAAAATAAAAAAAAAAAGAAATATGTGTTATAAAATGGAAATATTGAAAATTAAAGAAATTGGAAAATCGGAAGACTGGAAAACCAAAAACTGCAAAGTAAAAATTTAAAAATTGAAAAATGGACGAACTGAAAATTTGAAAAATTGAACAAATGAAAAATGGTAAAATCGAAAAAAACACAGAAAATAAAGGAAATGAAAAAACGGACAATAAAAATTAAAAATTCGCCACATTGGAAAATAAAAATCGGGAACATGAAAAATTGTGGAAACGAAAAATTGAGAAACTGAAAATTCGAAAATTGAAACGAAAAAATGAAAATTTGTGACATTAAACCGAGAAAATGAAAACTAAAAAAATCGGGAAAATGAAAAATAAAAATCGAGAACTTGAAAAATTGAGGAAACGAAAAATTGAAAATGACAAAAATTAAAAACTGAGAATGTGAAAAATCGAAAGAAACAACAAGAAATAAAGGAATTGAAAAAATGAAAATTTGTGACATAAAACCGAGAAAATGAAAATTAAAAAAAAATCGGAAAAATGAAAACTAAAAATCGAGAACTTGAAAAATTGAAAATGACAAAAATTAAAAACTGAGAATGTGAAAAATCGAAAAATGAGAAACTGCAATATCGAAAAATTGCAAAATTAAAAAATTGAAAAATTTAGAAGCCAAGAAACTGTAAAATTGAAAAATGTCAAAAGTGAAAATCAAACATGAAAATTTGAAGAAACGAAAATTTGAAAATTAAAGAAATTGGAAAATCGAAAGACTGGAAATCCAAATGGACGAACTGAAAATTCAAAGCCTGAAAATTTGAAAAATTGAACAAATGAAAAAATGTAACATCGAAAAAAAAAACACAGAAAGTAAAGGAAATGAAAAAACGGATAATTGTGATATAAATCGAGAAAATAAAAATTAAAAATTCGCCACATTGAAAAATACATGAAAATTGTGGAAACGAAAAATTGAGAAACTGAAAATTCCAAAAATTGACTTAACGAAAAATTGAAAAATCGAAAGAAACAACAAGAAATAAAGGAATGGAAAAAATGAAAATTTGTGACATAAAACCGAGAAAATGGAAATTAAAAAAATTGGGAAAATGAAAAATAAAAATCGAGAACTTGAAAAATTGAGGAAACGAAAAATTGAAAATGACAAAAATTAAAAACTGAGTATGTGAAAAATCGAAAAATGAGAAACTGCAATATTGAAAAATTGCAAAATTAAAAAATTGAAAATTGTCAAAAGTGAAAATCAAACATGAAAATTTGAGAAACGAAAACTTGAAAATTAAAGAAATTGGAAAATCGGAAGACTGGAAAACCAAAAACTGCAAAGTAAAAATTTAAAATTGAAAAATGGACGAACTGAAAATTCAAAGCCTGCCAATTTGAAAAATTGAACAAATGAAAAATTGTAAAATCGAAAAAAAAAACAGAAAATAAAGGAAATGAAAAAACGAACAATTGTGATATAAATCGAGAAAATAAAAATTAAAAATTCGCCACATTAAAAAATAAAAATCGGGAATATGAAAAATTGTGGAAACGAGAAATTGAGAAAGTGAAAATTCGAAAAATTGAAACATCGAAAGAAACAACAAGAAACAAAGGAATTGAAAAAACGAAAAATTTTGATATAAAACTGAAAAAATGAACATTAAAAAATGAGGAAAATGAAACTGAAAATTCAAAGCCTGAAAATTTGAAAATTGAACAAAAGAAAAATTGTAAAATCAAAAAAAAAAACATAGAAAATAAAGGAAATGAAAAAACGGACAATTGTGATATAAATCGAGAAAATAAAAATTAAAAATTCGCCACATTGAAAAATACATGAAAAATTGTGGAAACGAAAAATTAAGAAACTGAAAATTCGAAAAATTGACTAAACGAAAAATTGAAAAATCGAAAGAAACAACAAGAAACGAATTGAAAAAATGAAAATTTGTGACATAAAACCGAGAAAATGAGAACTAAAAAAAATCGGGAAAATGAAAACTAAAAATCGAGAACTTGAAAAATTGAGGAAACGAAAAATTGAAAATGACAAAAATTAAAAACTGAGAATGTGAAAAATCGAAAAATGAGAAACTGCAATATCGAAAAATTGCAAAATTAAAAAATTGAAAAATTTAGAAGTCAAGAAACTGTAAAATTGAAAAATGTCAAAAGTGAAAATCAGACATGAAAATTTGAAAAAACGAAAAATTGAAAATTAAAGAAATTGGAAAATCGGAAGACTGGAAATCCAAAAACTGCAAAGTAAAAATTTAAAAATTGAAAAATGGACGAACTGAAATTTCAAAGCCTGAAAATTTGAAAAATTGAACAAATGAAAAATTGGAAAAACGAAAAAAATCACAGAAAATAAAGGAAATGAAAAAACGGACAATTGTGATATAAATCGAGAAAATAAAAATTAAAAATTCGCCACATTGAAAAATACATGAAAAATTGTGGAAACGAAAAATTGAGAAACTGAAAATTCGAAATATTGACGAAACAAAAAACTGAAAAATCGAAAGAAACAACAAGACATAAAGGAATTGAAAAAATGAAAATTTGTGACATAAAACCGAGAAAATGAAAATTAAAAAAATTGGGAAAATGAAAAATAAAAATCGAGAACTTGAAAAATTGGGGAAACGAAAAATTGAAAATGACAAAAATTAAAAACTGAGAATGTGAAAAATCGAAAAATGAGAAACTGTAATAAGGAAAAATTGCAAAATTAAAAAATTGAAAAATTTAGAAGTCAAGAAACTGTAAAATTGAAAAATGTCAAAAGTGAAAATCAAACATAAAAATTTGCAAATTAAAGAAATTGGAAAATCGGAAGACTGGAAATCCAAAAACTGCAAAGTAAAAATTTAAAAATTGAAAAATGGACGAACTGAAAATTCAAAGCCTGAAAATTTGAAAAATTGAACAAATGAAAAATTGGAAAATCGAAAGAAACAACAAAAATTAAGGAAATGAAAAAACAAAAAATTGTGATAAAAAATCGAGAAAATGAAAATTAAAAAATCAGGAAAATGCAAATTAAAAATCGAGAATGTGAAAAATGGAAAAATGAGAAATTGTAGTATTGAAAAATTTGGAAGTCGACAAACTGTAAAATTGAAAAATCAAAAATAAAAAAGCGAAAAAGTGTAAGTATAATAAGACTTTAAAATTTGAAGAAAAATTGAAAAAAAACTGAAAATTTGAAAAATCGAATAAACCAAAAATTGTAAAATCCAAAGAAACAACAAAACATAAAGAAAATGAAAAAACGAAAAATTGTGATATTAAATTGAAAAAGTGAACATTAAAAAATCGGGAAAATGAAACTGAAAATTCAAAGCCTGAAAATTTGAAAAATTAAACAAATGATAAATTGTAAAATCGAAGAAAATAAAGGAAATGAAAAAACGGACAATTGTGATATAAATCGAGAAAATAAAAATTAAAAATTCGCCACATTGAATAATACATGAAAAATTGTGGAAACGAAAGATTGAGAAAGTGAAAATTCGAAAAATTGAAAAATCTAAAGAAACAACAAGAAATAAAGGAATTGAAAAAATGAAAATTTGTGACTTAAAACCGAGAAAATGAAAATTTAAAAAATAGAGAAAATGAAAAATAAAAATCGAGAATTTGAAAAATTGAAAATGACAAAAAACTGTGAAACATCGAAAAATGAGAAACTGCAATATCGAAAAATTTAAAAAAGTGCAATTCGAAAAATTGAAGAATTTAGAAGTCAAGAAACTGTAAAATTGAAAAATGGTAAAAGTGAAAATCAAACATGAAAATTTGAAGAAACGAACATTTGAAAAACTGAATAAATAAAAAATTGTAAATCGAAAGAAACAACAAAAAAATAAAGAAAATAAAGAAACCAAATACATAATACCGGACTCCAAGAGCGAGGAAAGTGCTGTCTAAATTTAGTTAAAAGGTAAGAAGGGGTGAACTATTTCAAATTAATAAAAACAGACAAAATTGGGTTTAATTTTAAACGTTATTAAAAATACAACAATCATTAACAAACCACAAAAAGCGTATACTTTTTTTCTTAAATGTCACAATCTGGAGTTATTTTCAAAAATCACCGTTATCATCACTTGTAGACTGTACCGCGCCATCTACAACTTTTTTTTCACTAGGCTTAGAAATTAATAGCGAGATCTGTAAAAGCCTAGCTATGAGAGTCTTATTCATCACAGCACCAGAGGCCACGTCCTCAGTGACCAAATCTATCACATCTGAAACATCGTTTGATTCACCTATAATACCCACGGAACGAAGAATAGTGAGAAGACAGTCGGAGAACTGAGTTCTCGAAGCCGACGTACAATTAAACCTTATGTTTGTTCTAAATAAGGGCGACATGTGACCTTGAGAAGCGAACTGTTGTGTTCGTCGTTTCGGTCGTTGATAAGTCATGACTCTGAGGACTTGTTCGCATTGAGAAAGTACTGAAAATGTTCGTTCTACATTAAAAAAAAAGTAACCAAAACTTACTTTTGTCCTTTTGCTCTTGAATTAAAGTTAGTGGAACGTTTTCTCCAGAGCGCCTCCTCTTTTTAGGACGACATGAGTTGGTAGAATCCTGGGAGTCGTCACTGGAACAAAAAGCACGTTTTCTCTTTTCAGAGGCCGCATTATCTTCATCAGAAACCCAGCCGAGATCTAAACCCTCCAAAAAACTGTCCCTGTTAAAGTCCTGGAAAAAATCTGCCGGGACGTCTTCAACTTCGTCGTCGCTGACGTTTTCGGCTTTGATTTCTGTATTTCTTGAAGAATTTTCTTCTTTGATTATAACATTTTCCGTGTTGCTATGAGTGGATTCACCTTTTGGTACGATATTTGCTAACTCGGGGCTCGTTACGTCGGGTTTTACATCGATATCTTGCGTGGTGTCTGAAAATTAGTAAATTTGTTGGTTCATCCTCTGTGACGTCACGTGACGATTTTACTAGCCTGTGACTTAGACCTACCTGGCGACGCAAAAACCGCGCTTTGCTTATCCGCTTCATCCAAATATTTGATAATTTTCAAGTAAAGAAAATTATCGAAGTGCTGTTTGTGGTTGTTCATTCGTAGCCGCGTGAAGTGAGCCTTTGATTTTTTGTCAAACGTGACGGTAATCCGAGCAGGGCGTTTATAGTCTTTGACTACGCCTGGGTTTTGGCTCAAAATTAGCGCCGTAACGGCAATCTCTTTTTCCATATCGGTAGCGTTTGGTGATAACTTTGGTAACAGGGTTTTTAGAGCTGTGGATCTATTTTGCCAAAGATCGTGAGTGCCTGCACAGGTAAAAGCAATTTCTGAGGGAGTTCGTTTTACGCTTACTTCGTAACAAAGAATCTTATGTAGGATGTCAACGGTGACTTTCTCGATAGTCGTTTTCCATTGGTCTTCACTGAATCTGCTTGGTTTTTCTAGAGTGAAGCACTTTGGACTCGTGTTGAGAAGTACCTTTGAAAGTAAACCTGATTTTGTTTGACTGAAGTTTGAAACGGTGCGACACCAAGCAATGAAATTCCCTGAGTAAGTGAGCGAAGCTTTGGATAAAAGATTGACTGAGTGTTCAAAGGGGTCTTGTACACAAATACCGTGACCTACATCGATACAACCATCTTGACACATATAGTTAGAGTAACAAGATGGAAGCTCATACGGTTTGATAAAACTTTCTTTGGTGATCAGCTGGCCACAAAATGGCGCAATCACGTACGAAAAGTAATCAAAACGGGAGTAGAATTGGAAGAATTTAGTGACAAGTTCTAGAATTGTGGCGTTTTTTAGAGTTTGACTGGTAACTTCGGGTCGGGAAAAGGTACATTTCCACCCGATTTGCGGCTCCCACCGCACACAAACACCCAAGTCTAGTACACTGGGAAGGTTATATGGATCTTGTTGCAAGAAAAAAATAATCAATAAATACAACGCGTAATTGGAAAATCTGTCGGGTCCAACGACGTAATGACAGTTACACCAAAATTTAACCAATAGCATCAGCTGTTTGATCTTTTTATCCAGACCTGCGTAATACTTAATTAACTCGTCGCTTCTGCGCAGTGTTTGATTTGCACTCACACGGCACAATATTCCTGTTTTAACGTGCTTACAAATTATCATTTCTATGCCGTTTTCAGTACTACTTTTGACGACTGTAAATTTGCCATTGCATGACAGCATTGTAGTCATTTTTTGTAAAGTTGGTAGCCGGTTGATCGTTTTTGTGTTATGTACGTGAAAATCGAGGCTACTGTTTGTCAAATTTAAACCAATCTCTGTAGATCCAAAAAGAGTAGTTCTACAATTGGGGCCAGTGGTACTAAGTGCAGCTGCTACATCTTTGTGAACGCTTTGGCGCGCTTCTTTCACCTTGGAACTGCTACTATGTACTATATTTTCAAAAATTGCGATCTGTTCGGCGAAAGGGCACTTTTGGCCACGAAGTGCGTGGCTCAGACTAGAGAGAAGAATTCTAAGTGGGTCTGAAAGTCATACAGTCGGACTTTAATAATCAACCACAATTTTAACCATCTACTTACTATTGCAGCTATTAGTTTCCGTTGTTTCTTCCACATCTCCAGGCGACAAAATTTTATTACCGTTGCAGCTCTTACTTGTCGCCGTTTCTTCCGCCGCCCCATTCGATAAAACCGGGTTGAAAAAAACCACCACACCCTTGCCACAAACTGAGTGCTCTTTATGCACAATATAAGAATGCGACATTCCATTTTTGAAAGCATATGTAAACAAAACAGTATTGTTTTCCTTGTTCAAAATAACGACTTTTTGCTCGATGATTGCGCCAAATTTTTTAAAATATGTGTGGACTTGGCCGATCTCTTCGTTTGTAAAGGTCCCTACAAAGAGTAAATCTGGTCACTGTGGATACCCAATTTCATACAAACCACGAACAAAAATTTCGGCCGGTATGTTGTTTCGGTGGTGTTGGCCGCTTTCGTGTTGGTTCCACACTTTGCTGCTGAGAGACACATTGCAAAATTTGCAATTTTTCAAACGTTCGAGTTTCGGCATTGTCGAGATTCCTTGTTTTCAGAAGTGTTAGCGGACTATGTTAGATTTTATTGTGCACAAAAAAGTGTGGTTATGTATGGTCATTTCAAATGTCAAAACGTGTGTATGCAACCAGTTATACACGTTTTTTTTGTGAAACCAGCTGTAGTTCTCAACAAGCTTCGTCTCAAAAACATATTGGGTATTAAAAAAGTGTTTAAAATGGTAATTTTTGTAGGAAAATATCGTTTGTGCAATTGGGTTCCGCCCCTCGGTCTGACAACGAATGAAAAATTCATCACAATCGAACTTGGGATGGATATGGGTGGTGCTTAATTTTTGGCTTGTTTTTTTCTTAATATACACAGTATAGTACAGTACAAGACGAATGGCTGGAGCTTCTGTTTTGGTTTTATTTTTTAATTAATACGTTTATAAGTTTTCTTTCTATAACACGATTACGTAAGAACATATTTCACACGGTAATTTTTCACTGAAAATAAGGATTTTACAATTAAGCTCCGCCCCTCAGCTTACGACAAATAAAAAAAAATTCTCAGAATTGAGACAGGGCGGGTGGACGGGGCTTATATTTTGCCTTTTTTTCTTAATATACATAGCCATCTTTTCACAACAGGATTTAAGCTGACTACTAGAAACATTTACCATTTTAGACATGTTTTAAGTTTCTTGTTGTCGAAATAAGTCTACACATAGTAAGAAAAAAAAAAGGAAGAATATAGCCTCGCCCACCCACCCTATCTCACTTGTGACGATTTTTTTATTCGCTGTGAACCAATGGGGCGGAGCTTAACTGCAAAATACTTATTTCTTTGCAAGGAATTAAAAACATATTTTTGAGTATTGTGTTGTTCAAAAAATACTATGTATATTAAGAAAAAAAAGCAAAATATAAAAACAACACGATACTCGAAAACATGATTTTAATTTCTCGTAGAGAAATAAGATTTTGTAGTTAAGCTCCACCCACTTGCTCGACGGGGAATAAAAAAATCATCACAATTGAGATGGGGCGGGTGGGCGGGGCTACATTTTGCCTTCTTTTTCTTAATATGTGTAGACTTATTTCAACGTCAACAGCAAGTTTATAAATTCCACTTTAGGGTTACTACAACTTCTTGTCAAATAGTACCTATTGGTCAGATACCTTAATTAAAATCTCTGCTATTGGTACTTAACCTTAACGCAAAGTGTCAAAATCGTCAAAGTCTAGTGATTTATTTAGTAACTGTATTAAAATATATTTCTCAGTTTTTCCATGTTTCAGTTTTTCGATTGTTCAATTTTTCTTAGATTTTTTAATTTGTCGATCAGTCGTTTTGGGATTTTTTAATATTTCGATTCTATAATTTTTCGTTTTTTTGATGTTTCGATTTCTCTATCTTTCGACTTCTAGGTTTTAGATTTCTCGGTTTTTCAATTATTCGGTTTCTTTTTGTTGAATTTTTAGATTTATCGTTATTTTATTAATTTGAAATCTTTCATTTTTCCAATTTTCAACTTTTCGAGTTTTCGATTTTGGGCTATTTTGATTTCTCCACTTTTCTATTTTTTAATTTCGCGACTTTTCGAATTCCCGATTTTTGATATTTCAATTTTTAATTTTTCGATGTCTAGATTTTTGGATTTCTGATTTTTCAATTTCCAAATTTTTCCTTATTTTATTTTTGGAGTTTTTTAGTTTTCCAATTCTTCAGTTTATCGTATTTTCAAATTTTCTCGATTTTTTATTTTTGTTCAATTTTCAGATTTATCGATTTTTTTTAATCTTAAATCTTTCAATTTTTAACTTTTTGATTTTTCGAGTACTCGATTTTTGATGTTTCATTTCTCAGTGTTTCGGTTTTTAATTTTTTTATGTTTCGATTTCTAGATTTTTCAGTTGTTCGACTTTTTCAGCTTTTGATTTTTTGATTATTCAGTTTCTAGATTTATCTTTTTTTTTATTATAAATAAGTTATCGATTTTGAGTAATTTTGAACTCTCAGTTTTTCGATTTCTCGATTCTTCGACCTTTCGATGTTTCGATTTTCCAATTTTTGGAATTTTTCATTTAAAATTTTTCTATTTTTAGATTTTCTGAGGCTTCAATCCCTCGATTTTTGAATTTTTCGATGTTTCGATTCGCAGATTTTTTAAATGTTAGACTTTTTCGGCTTTTCGACTTAGAAATTTTCAGTTTGTAGATTTTTCTGTATTTCAAATTTTCAGTTTTTGATTTTTGAATTAAATTTTTAAAATTTTACATTTTCTAATTTTTTGATGTTTCGATTTTTCGACTTTTTGGTTTTCCAATTTTTCGATTGTTCAGTTTTTGGATTTATTGATTTTGGACAATTTCGAATTTCCTTTTTTTTTTAGATTTTTTGACGTTTCTATTTTCGATTTTTCAATTTCTTAATTTCGGTTTCTCGATTTTTCAATTCTTCCATATTACTATTTTTGAATTTTTTAATTTTTTAAATTCTACATTTTTTGATTATTCACTCTTTCAGTTTTACAATTTCTTTATTCGATTTCTCAATTTTCCAACATTTCAGTTTTTGGAAATTCTAAAAGGCTGGGTTTTTCAGTTTATCGATATTTTCATTTTCGGATTATTTGATATTGGGAATCTGTTGATTTTTCGACTTTTCAGACTTCGCTTTTTCGATTGGGCTATTTTGATTTCTCCATTATTCTATTTTTTAATTTCGCGACTTTTCGAATTTCCAATTTTTGATGTTTCAATTTTTAATTTTCGATGTCTCGATTTTTGGATTTTTCAACTTTTCGATTTCCCAAATTTTCCTCATCTTATTTTTGGAATTTTTCAGTTTTTCAATTCTTCAATTTACCGATTTCCAAATTTCCGATTTTTTAAATTTTGGAGTTTTCGATTCGTCGCTTTTCCAATTTTTCACTTTTTGATTTGTAAATTTAATTTTGTTCAGTTTTCCGTTTCTTCGTTTTTTCGATATTTTAATTTTTCAATGTTTTTGAATTTTACATTTTTCAGTTGTTCAGTGTTTAGTTTTATCGTATTTTTTTTAAATTTCGAATCTTTCAACTTTCCAATTTTCAACTTTCCGAGTTTTCGATTTTGGACTATTTTGATTTCTCCATTTTTCAACTTGGCGACATTTCGAGTTCTCGAGTTTTGATGTTTCATTTCTCGATGTTTCAATTTTTGCATTTTTCGATGTTTGGATTTGTAGATTTTTCAAATGTTCGACTTTTTCGGCTTTCGATTTTCGGATTTTCCAATTTTTTGATGCTCCGATTTTTCAATTCTTCAATTTCCTAATTTTTCTTCATTTTATTTTTGGAATTTTTTAGTTTTCCAATTCTTCAATTTACCGTATTTTCAAATTTTCTCGATTTTTTATTTTTGTTCAATTTTCATATTTATCAATTTTTTTAATTGTAAATCTTTCAATTTTTAACTTTTTGATTTTTCGAGTACTCGATTTTTGACGTTTCATTTCTCAGTGTTTTATTTTTTAAATCTTGGAGTTTTTGATTTATCGATCTTTGGACTTACAGATTTTAGATTTTTCAATTTCTCGATTTTTGTTCAATTTTCAGATTTATCGATTTTTTTTTTAGACTTAAATCTTTCAATTTTTGACTTTTTGATTTTTCGAGTACTCGATTTTTGATGTTTCATTCCTCAATGTTCCAGTTTTAAATTTTCTATGTTTCGACTTCTAGATTTTTCAGTTGTTCGACTTTTTCGGCTTTTAATTTTTTGATTGTTCAGTTTCTAGATTTATCTTTTTTTTATTATAAATAACTTTTGGATTTTTCGATTTTGAATTCTCAGATTTTCGATTTTTGAACTTCCCGATTGTTCGACCTTTCGATATTTCATTTAAAATTCTTAAATTTTTACATTTTCTGACGCTTCAATCCCTCGATTTTTGGATTTTTCGATTTGCAAATTTTTTAATGTTCGACTTTTTCGACTCTTCGATTTCCCAATTTTTCTTCATTTAATTTTTTGAATTTTTCAGTTTCTAGATTTTTCATTATTTCAAATTTTCAATTTTTGATTCTTAAATATAATTTTTAAAATTTTACATTTTTCAGTTTTTTGATGTTTCGATTTTTCGACTTCTCGGTTTTCCAATTTTTCGATTGTTCAGTTTTTGGATTTATCGATTTTGAACAATTTCGAGTTTTGAACTTCGCGATTTGTCAATTGTTCGATGTTTCGATTTTCCTTTTTTATCAATTTTTAGCTTTTTTGACGTTTCCATATTCGACTTTTCAATTTCTTAATTTCGGTTTCTCGATTTTTTTTGATTTTTTAAATTCTACATTTTTTGATTATTCAATCTTTCAGCTTTACAATTTCTTTATTCGGTTTCTCAATTTTCCAACATTTCAGTGTTTGGAAATTCTAAGTCTGGGTTTTTCAGTTTATCGATATTTTCATTTTTGGATTATTTGATATTTCGAATCAGTGGATTTTTCGACTTTTCGGACTTCGCTTTTTCGGTTATTCCATTCATCGATATTAAAAAAATATTGATTTTTCGACTTTTCAGTTACACGGATCGCGTAAATAGTGCATGGTAATTTCTTGTAGAGAAACAATAAGGATTTTGCAATTAAATTCCGCTACTTTTGCTCGACGATTAAAAAAAAAATCATCACAATTGAGATAGGGTGGGTGGGCGGGGCTTATATTTTGCCTTTTCTCTTAATTTAAGTAGTCTTTTCAGAACAAGAAACTTAAAACATGTTTAAAATGATAAATTCTTGTAGACAAATATGGAGCTTGCAATTAAGCTCAGCCCCTCGATCTGACAACGAATGAAAAATTCATCACAATTGAGATAGGGTGGGTGGGCGGGCCTACATTTTGCCAACAAGAAACTTGAAACATGTAAATGGTAAATTTTTGTACTAATCAACTTAAATCTTTCAGTTTTCTCCTACACCCCGTTTAAATACGGCACAAGTTGAACATGAAAGTTAGTATCAACGAGAACATTCAGCTCTAAAAGCGTCAGCGAAAAATGTATATTTTACCCATTCTTTTCATGTTCGTTCTGTAGGTTGGTAGACAATAAAAAGTATAAAAATAATAATGTATTTTCAATAGAATTAACAATACGGCATACAAAAATAATATAACATTCATATAGGAATCAAACTATTTACAAAAAACAAAATAAGTCTTTAGTTGGATAGAACTAAGTACGTAGAAAATTACAGATTTTCAAAAATTTGAATTGACTAAGTTTTATGGCACAATTCATTCCTTCTGCACTGCGTCAGACAAGGCCTTCTTCAGCGTTTCCAGGACTTCGGTAACTTTATCCACGACTTTGTCTCTCTTGACACCAACTTCCTTCACCATTCCGGCTTGTTCCACAACCTTGTGGAGCGCCTCTGCGTAGGTATCCTTGACAGGTTGCTCCGGCGGTGACGTAAACGTGAACGACAGATCCAGCGCTGTCTTCACCGGCGACTGGTACCTCGGCGACGTAGACAATTTCGGCAAGGACTTAGCCAAACAAGTCGGACGCGGATTGTGGTTCAGAAATTGAGTCAAATCGTGACAGCGCCGAAGTACTACAAAGACATTTGTGATTGGTGCCACCTAACTCATTCACTTACCTTTAGCTTTTTTCTGGAGATGGGCAAAAACTGAATGATTCGCAGATGTATCTCGTTGGGTTGTTTCAGCTGAAGGCGTAGTTTCTGGAAGCGGAATTAGCGGTATGGGTGCTAGTACTCGTTGCTGGTAGGGAACTGGAGTAGCGACAAGAAAATTTTTGTTGTAAAGTGGGGGTGGGTTAGGAATCAGAGGAACACGAGTCATTGGTACTGGTTGTACCCTTGGCAAAGCGATACGAGGTTTAACCTCGTTGATTTTTTTCTTGATTTCTTCCAGCAAGGAGTTCTGTGGAAGGACCCTTCTAATTGGCGATTTGTTGGAACCTCTGCTCAAACTGCGCCTTCTGGAGCGATAATCGGGGCTTCTGCTTCTTTTTCGTCGTTTCGAAGTGTACGGTGAAGGAGATCTAGTTCTATTTCTGGTGGTAAACCTGTGTGGAAGTCTTCTGGAACGACACTCTCGACTTCTACTTCTCTTTTCCCGTTTGGAACGACACGGTGACGGTGTTCTACTTCTCACTCTAGTTTTAATAACAATCCGACTCGTGGTCGTGATGTACTTCCGGACTGTACTATTCGAACTTATCTTAGACCTATCTCTAGATTCAAACCGACTTTTTGACTTCAAGCGTATTCGAGACCTGGCACGTTCGCGTCGTTCGTCTCGTAATCTCAGTCGTTCCCTGAGCGCATGGCCAGGCTGCAATATTCTATCATCGTCACACCCATCTTTAACTGAAGACCGTTCCTTATGTTGCTTGCCCGATTTTAACATCTTTTTGTCTTTAGACTCGTTCTCAGACGAAGACCGTTCTTTGTCACTCAACTTAAGTACTTTCTTGTTGTTGGATTCGTTCTCTTTGTGATAATCGGGTTTCGTGATTTTCGCAACTTCAGCTACCTTGTCGTCCAGAATATCCAACCCGTCTAAGAAATCCTCGTTCGCAAAGTCGTCGAAGAAGTCGGACGGAACATCGTCGTCTTCCTCTTCCTCAGGAACTAATTTCTTGTTACTATCGTCAGACTGCATTTCTACTGAAACCTCGCCAATTTCCTCTGGGTCATCCTTAATTTCCTCCAAAAACATCACCAACTTCGTGTACAGAAAATGACAGACGTGAAACACATTAAAACACCCCGGTTTCTGTCTAAAAATAACCTTGACGCGACACGGCTCTTTCAAAAAAAACAAATCCAGAAACAGTTTCCAGTTGATTTTTTCGGGAGCGTCCCGAACAACCCGGGAACTAATCGCCACCTCTCGATCCACCCCTCGCCGCCCTGAGCGCTTCTTCATCGCTTTAACCCTCTCATTCCACACATTATGTTGCCCGACGAACTCAAAACTCACCACCTCACCCCCAAAAACCGCCTTCGACAATTTATAGTCTAAAACGTCCGTCAGAATCTTCACGGTCATAGTTTTAACACCCTGAAACCACCCCTGCTCGCTTCGCTCGTCGCTTTTAATGATCACGAACTCAGGGCATTCGAAAATGTGGCGCTGGACTTTGATCAGGAGTTTGTATAAGAGGAAATTCTCGTCGGAGTTAATGAGTTGCAGCAGTTTTTTAGTTTTTCAATTCTATAATTTACTGATTTCCAAATTTTAGATTTTTTAAATTTTGGAGTTTTCGATTCCTCGGTTTTCCAATGTTTCAATTTCTGATTTTTAAATTTAATTTTATTCAGTTTTTTGTTTCTTCGATATTTTATTTAATCTTTCAATTTTTGGAATTTTACAGTTTTCAGTTTTTTGACGTTTTGATTTCTAGATTTATCGATTTTTTGTTGTATTTTTTTAATTTCGAATCTTTCAACTTTCCAATTTTCAACTTACCGAGTTTTCGATTTTGGACTATTTTGATTTCTCCATTTTTCTACTTGGCGACTTTTCGAGATTTTTGATGTTTCATTTCTCGATGTTTCAATTTTTCAATTTCCGAATTTTTCCTTATTTTATTTTTGGAATTTTTCAGTTTTTCCAATTCTTCAGTTTACCGTATTTTCAAATTTCAGATTTTTTAAATTTTGGAGGTTTCGATTTCTCGGTTTTTTATTTTTGTTCAATCTTCAGAATTATCGATTTATTTAAATAACTTTCAATTTTTCGATTTTGAGTAATTCTGAACTCTCAGTTTTTCGATTTCTAGATTGTTCGACCTTGCGATGTTTCGATTTTTCAATTTTTCGATTTCCCAATTTTTCCTCATTTTATTTTTGGAATTTTTCGGTTTTTCAATTCTTCAATTTACCGATTTCCAAATTTTCGATTTTTTAAATTTTGGAGTTTTCAATTCTTGGGTTTTCCAATTTTTGATTTTTAAATTTAATTTTTTTCAGTTTTTCGTTTCTTCGTTTTATCGAAATTTTAATCTTTCAATTTCATAGTTTTTACTTTTTTAACGTTTTGATTTCTAGATTTATCGATTGTTCAGTTTTTAGATTTATCGTATTGTTCAATTTCCGAATTTTTCCTCATTTTATTTTTGGAATTTTTCAGTTTTTCGATTCTTCAGTTTACCGTATTTCCAAATTTCAGATTTTTTAAATCTTGGAATCTTTGATTTATCGATCTTTGGACTTCTAGATTTTAGATTTTTCGATTTTTGTTCAATTTTCAGATTTATCGATTTTTTTTAAACTTAAATCTTTCAATTTTTAACTTTTTGATTTTTCGAGTACTCGATTTTGGATGTTTTATTCCTCAATGTTTCAGTTTTAAATTTTTTTATGTTTCGATTTCTAGATTTTTCAGTTGTTCGACTTTTTCGGCTTTTAATTTTTTGGTTGTTCAGTTTCTAGATTTATGTTTTTTTTATTATAAATAACTTTTGGATTTTTCGATTTTGAGTAATTTTGAATTCTCAGATTTTCGATTTTTGAACTTCCTGACTTTTCGACTTCTCGATTGTTGGATCTTTCGATGTTTCGAGTTTTCATTTAAAATTCTTCTATTTTTACATTTTCTGACGCTTAAGTCCCTCGATTTTTGAATTTTTCGATGTTTCGATTTGCAGATTTTTAAATGTTCGACTTTTTCCACTCTTCGACCTCCCAATTTTTCCGCACTTAATTTTTGGAAATCTTCAGTTTCTAGATTTTTCAATATTTCCAATTGTCTGTTTTTGATTCTTAAAATATTTTTTTTTTAATTTTACATTTTCCAGTTTTTTGATGTTTCGATTTTTCGACTTCTCGGTTTTCCAATTTTTCGATTGTTTCGTTTTTGGATTTATCGATTTTGGACAACTTCGAATTCTCAACTTTCGATTTCTAGATTTTTCAATTGTTCGACTTTTTCGTTTTCCTCATTTTATTTTTGGAATTTTTCAGTTTTTCAATTCGTCAATTTATAGATTTCCAAATTTTCGATTTTTAAATTTTGGAGTTTTCAATTCCTGGGTTTTCCAATTTTTCAATTTTTGATTTTTAAATTTAATTTTTTTCAGTTTTTCGTTTCTTCGAAATTTTAATCTTTCAATTTTATAGTTTTTAGTATTTTAACGTTTTGATTTCCAGATTTATCGATTGTTCAGTTTTTAGATTTATCGTATTTTTTTAATTTCGAATCTTCCACTTTCCAATTTTCAACTTTCCGAGTTTTCGATTTTGGACCATTTTGATTTCTCCATTTTTCTATTTTTCAACTTCGCGACTTCGATTTTTGACGTTTCTTTCTCGATGTTTCAATTTTTACATTTTTCGATGTTTCGATTTCTAGATTTTTCAAATATTCGACTTTTTTGATTGTTCAGTTTCTAGATTTTTTTTTATTATAAATAAGTTTTCGATTTTTCGATTTTGAGTCATTTTAAACTCTCAGTTTTTCGATTTCTCGATTGTTCAACCTTCCGATTTTTCGATTTTCCAATTTTTCAATTTTTGGATATTTCATTTAAAATTTTTCTATTTTTAGATTTTCTGACGCATCAATCCCTCGATTTTTGAATTTTTCGATGTTTCGATTTCTAGATTTTTCAAATGTTCGACTTTCGTTTTCGATTTTTGGATTTTCCAATTTTTCAATTTCCGAATTTTTCCTCATTTTATGTTTGGAATTTTTCAGTTTACCGTATTTTCAAATGTCAGATTTTTTAAATCTTGGAGTTTTTGATTTATCGATTTTTGTTCAATTTTCAGATTTATCGATTTTTTTAAACTTAAATCTTTCAATTTTTAACTTTTTGATTTTTCGAGTACTCGATTTTTGATGTTTCCTTCCTCAATGTTTCAGTTTTAAATTTTTTTTATGTTTCGATTTTTTGATTGTTCAGTTTCTAGATTGATCTTTTTTTTATTATAAATAAGTTTTCGATTTTTCATTTAAAATTTTTCTATTTTTAGATTTTCTGAGGCTTCAATCCTTCGATTTTTGAATTTTTCGATGTTTCGATTCGTAGATTTTTTAAATGTTCGACTGTTTCGGCTCTTCGACTTCCCAATTTTTCCTCATTTAATTTTTGGAATTTTTCAGTTTCTAGACTTTCAAATTTTCAGTTTTTGATTCTTAAATTAAATTTTTTAATTTTACATTCTTCAGTTTTTTCATGTTTCGACTTTTCGTTTTTTTTTTAATTTTGAATAATTTTTGGATTTTTTCGATTTTGGACAATTTCGAATTCTCAATTTTTCGATATTTGAACTTCTCGATTTGTCGATTGTTCGATGTTTAGATTTTCGTTTTTCTTTCAATTTTTGGATTTTTAATTTAAAATTTTTCACTTTTTACATTTTTTGACGTTTCGATCTTCGATCTTTCAATTTTTCCATATTTTAATTTTTCAATTTCTTAATTTCGGTTTCTCGATTTCTCGTTTTTGCGATTTTTCAATTCTTCCATAATTCTATTTTTGAATGTTCCGATTTTTTAAATTCCACATATTTGATTATTCACTCTTTCAGCTTTACAGTTTTCTTCATTCGATTTCTCAATTTTCCAACATTTCAGTTTTTGGAAATTCTAAAAGTCTGGGTTTTTCAGTTTATCGATATTTTCATTTTTGGATTATTTGATATTTCGAATCTGTGGATTTTTCGACTTTTCGGACTTCGCGTTTTCGGTTATTCCATTCATCGATATTAAAAAATTATTGATTTTTCGACTTTTCAGTTACACGGTTTCGCGTAAATAGTGCATGATAATTTATTGTAGAGAAACAATAAGGATTTTGCAATTAAATTCCGCTACTTTTGCTCGACGATTAAAAAAAAAATCATCACAATTGAGACAGGGTGGGTGGGCGGGGCTTATATATTGCCTTTTCTCTTAATTTACGTAGTCTTTTCAGAACAAGAAACTTAAAACATGTTTAAAATGATAAATTCTTGTAGACAAATATGGAGCTTGCAATTAAGCTCCGCCCCTCGATCTGACAACGAATGAAAAATTCATCACAATTGAGATAGGGTGGGTGGGCGGGCCTACATTTTGCCAACAAGAAACTTGAAACATGTAAATGGTAAATTTTTGTACTAATCAACTTAAATCCTTCATTTTTCTTCTACACCCCGTTTAAATACGGCACAAGTTGAACATGAAAGTTAGTATCAACGAGAACATTCAGCTTTAAAAGCGTCAGCGAAAAATGTATATTTTACCCATTCTTTTCATGTTCGTTCTGTAGGTTGGTAGACAATAAAAAGGATAAAAATAATAATGTATTTTCAATAGAATTAACAATACGGTATACAAAAATAATATAACATTCATATAGGAATCAAACTATTTACAAAAAACAAAATAAGTCTTTAGTTGGATAAAACTAAGTACGTAGAAAATGATAGATTTTCAAAAATTTGAATTGACTAAGTTTTATGGCACAATTCACTCCTTCTGCACTGCGGCAGACAAGGCCTTCTTCAGCGTTTCCAGGACTTCGGTAACTTTATCCACGACTTTGTCTCTCTTGACACCAACTTCCTTCACCATTCCGGCTTGTTCCACAACCTTGTGGAGCGCCTCCGCGTAGGTATCCTTGACAGGTTGCTCCGGCGGTGACGTAAACGTGAACGACAGTTCCCGCGCTGTCTTCACCGGCGACTGGTACCTCGGCGACGTAGACAATTTCGGCAAGGACTTAGCCAAACAAGTCGGACGCGGATTGTGGTTCAGAAATTGAGTCAAATCGTGACAGCGCCGAAGTACTACAAAAACATTTGTGATTGGTGCCATTTAACTCATTCACTTACCTTTAGCTTTTTTCTGGAGATGGGCAAAAACTGAATGATTCGCAGATGTATCTCGTTGGGTTGTTTCAGCTGAAGGCGTAGTTTCTGGAAGCGCAATTAGCGGTATGGGTGCTAGTACTCGTTGCTGGTAGGGAACAGGAGCAGCCACAACAAAATTTTTGTTGTACAGTGGGCGTGGGTTAGGAATCAGAGGAACACGAGGCATTGGTACTGGTTGTACCCTGGGCA